CTCTTTTCCCACAGAGTTCGTTTCTAAACCTAAACTACTTCCAACCGGTTACATATAATACCATTTAATGTTAAACCATTTATTTTGCAGGACCTGGGTGCTACAATAAAATACTCGTTGATTGAAAGTATACTTTGTATTACTGCAATATGAAAGGTTCACCCCTATAATTATAAAAAAATAACTAGCCAGGTTTGCTTGTTCATCTTTTCATAATAATATTAATAAATTTAATAAGAAATCCACAAAACAATTCCTTAACAAACAGTTTCCGTCTTGTGGCTGAAATCCTTACTGACTTTTCCGAGCGTTTTTCCCAACGCCTTTTCCCATTCATCTTGGCAAGAATCGCCAACACTTGGCAACACTGTTTCGATTCACTTTCGAGGCATTCGCACAGTCATCGCACGGAATCCCCGAAGACAAAAGGCTTCGATTGCTCGGCGCTTGTTCAAGTTTAATTGGAAAACGCAAAATGCAATATTTGCTTACGCTCTGGACTGGACTGGACTGGAGGATTGGAGTAGCTATGGTTCGGAGGCGGAAATCTGAAATCAAAAAGCCAGTGAAGGCGGCATGGGCGCAAACAATCAATAGATCAAAACTGCACACGAGGCGCTGCGCTTGTGCATCCAATTGCAATCATCGAGAGCAAAAGGGAAGCAGCCAAAGGAACAAAATATGGGCAAGCAAACGCGGCTTCAAAAATCAGGCAACACCAGGACGAGGACGAAGCGATGAAGCGATGAAGGGGGAAAAGAGTGTGGATGAAGTGGAGAACGATGAGGCGAAAGTCAACAGAAGGCAGAAAACTGGCTCAGAAACCTGGAACCCGAAGAGCCAAACACAGGCGATGACTAAACAAAGTTAGACAAGATTGTGCAACAAACAAAACAGAGGCAGCAAAAACTGCAGCTCGCCTGCATTGTTTGGTTCCCGATTGGATGCGATGGTATAGGATGGTATGGTATAGAATAGGATGGTATGGGAGTTCCACCGGCCTCAATCTCCTCCTGCCAATTCAGTGTCTTCTGCCCATCCCACTCACCTGTTAGTGCCAGCTTGTTGGCACTGCCACTTCCACTTCCAGCCGAGTTGAGCCAAGCTGGCCGAGTTGAGTTGCCCGGCGAGTTTTGCAAACTTCTTGCTGGCTGGCTAGCTGGTTGGATGGTTGGATGGTTGGCTGTTTGGCCCATTGTGATTGTGTGCGGCATAATTGCATGCGATTATGCTGCCCGCTCAGCTGTGCAGTTTATATCATGGGAGCAGCAAACAAGTGAGCAGCCGGGTCCCCCCAGAAGTGCCCCCCAATCTTCACACTTGTCGGCAGCTGGCGGAGAACTTGCGAACAAGATCCAGCCATCCTGTTATCGCCCAAACAAAACTGAGTTATGTAGAACAGGGATACTTTACAAGCGGAGTTTGAGTTTGCTAGATCAAAATATTTGTGTACAAATTATAAATGGTTTTCTGATCAGGATCTATAAGACAAATATTCCTAGAAGATTAAATGGATAGTTAAAACATAAAAAGCAATGGTTAAATGGTTATGCTTTCATAAAGTTTATAATTTGTGGATCATTACTTAATTCAATGTTTGACTATTTAGTTATATATTTCCAATATTTATGCTTACCCTTCAGTTACCCATAAATTTCAGAAGCTAAGGTGTTCAGTATCAATAAACTTCAGTTGCCACACTAAACTAATTCAATTTGCAACCTACCTTTAATACAAATCACTTGGTTAGCAGCAGATTAAGGCGATAATATACCATCGGCTTTAAAGCCAGACATTCGCATGGTCTGCATTCTAATTCCAATTTGGGAGTAAACGAGCCGAATAACGACCTGCATTTGGCCAACATTGATCCGATTAACTTGCTGGGCAAAGTTTGTTGTCATGTTGCGTTTGTCATGGAAAAGCCATCAATAAAGGCGAGTAGATGCAATTTGGAGAATTTCATCAATCAGGGCGATTTCATTTCCAGCTGCATTCTGCTGCATTTTTGCCCAGAAAAACGAGCCCGTTAATGAACAAAAAGGAGACAAAGGGGAGTTTCCTTTGTCAAAGCTCCATCAATTCGGTGCGGATAGGGCTCACATCACATGATGGCCAGCTGTACGCAAAAATAAAGGGCCAAAAGCTGTTCCACTGTGCTGTGGTGGCAACCGCTTCGATTTCATCCTCCCGAAAATCCGAAATTCCCCCCGCTCCATTCGTCTGTCAATTTCAGCTGCTGCTGCGGCACCAGAAATTTGTTTTTAGTTCAGCTTTTGGCCAGCAATCCTGTGTCCAGCCGGCATATTTTATATCGGTCCGTGCAGCATTTGCCATTTCACAATTTGTTCGGGATTGCCATCTCTCATTTCCCATCCCGGGCTGCCAAATTTCCCCTTTGACCAGACTGTGTGGCCCATGGAAATCGACTTTGGCCGACTCACTAATCGAAAAGTTGGTCCACGCTCGTCGCACTTTAGTAATTAAACTTTGCCGACTCATTTTATTGTCGCTCTCTAATTATTTATGCATACATCAGCGACTGCACTCGTAACAATCAGCTGGCAATTTATTACGCAATTTAATGCATATTTGAAAGCACTGTTTCTCGGTCATAACCGCGCACTATGATTCGAAATACAATGTTTGGAATTGAGAGATATCGGGGGGATAACCTCTGGCCCGCAGGGCTGCAGTCATAAATATTATAAATACATTCCGAACATTGCCCCCAACATCAAGACGTCGGGTGGAGATACACGACTTCATGGTGGCATCGCAGGAGATAAGCACCAGTTTGAATTACAGAACTCCCAGATAACCCGGGAATACCAAAGAAATCTTTACTTCGTTGTATTACACTATCATAAATTGTAGCTGCACGAAAAGAGACAATATAAGTCTATAAAAATTTGAATGAAATAATAAACAAATAAAACATAGTTACAGTTCTTTTTAAAACTATTTATGATTAACAAACCTTGAAGAGTGGTTTAAGAATAGGAATTATATATGATACCCATAAAAATAAACGAATAAAATCTTCAAAAATTCAAACTCATTGCCGTATATCTCACAATGTTTTGTTCTTTGTTTAATGCCACAAAATCTTTATTCCTTTCCCACTCCCTCCTGAGGTAATACCATTGTAAGTACAGGACTCACTCCTTGGCCGATAACAAAGTGTCCTGCAGCATTCCGAGAAGCCACTCACACTTACATAGATGCCCAGCTATTTTAGCTTCCCAGCAGCATTCACACACTCGGCCGTGAAGGAGATGTGGAAAATAGTAAAATGAAAACAAGTTGAACAAGTTTCCGACACCTCGAAAAAACAATGCCAGAGCTCAGTGCTGTGTGCTGTATCTTCGCAGGGAGTCAAGTCGGAGTCCAAGTCGAAGGTACTAACTTAGTTACACTCGCTCTCTTTGTCACTCAGGATGGCCTCCGATTGGGGGGTTGCATGTGGAGCTCGGCCACCTTGGACATTTGTTTTGGGACTCGGACCTGTCTGCCGTGGCCCATGTGCTGCCCCAGCCTCCTAATGAAAAAGTTCTTATGAATAATAAATGCATTAGAGAAACTTCCACATACAAACAAAAGTTCCGCCGTGAAGGAGGGGATGGCCCCCGAAAAGAATGTTTTATGGTTGGTCTGGGGCAGCGTTCATAAATATTACATTTTGCGTACGCAACTCGAGAGGTGGCAAATGATTCACTCGCCACTCGGAAAACTCCTGCAGGCGGCCTTGGCCTTATGCAGTGTATCTCAAAGTATTTGTGTTATCCAAACAGAAACTGCAGCTCTTTTCCAAACAATCGGAACCTATTAATAGATGCCCACTCGTATCTTTCGGCTGGTGGATATCCATCTAGTCTAGGGAAGCGGGCAATGTGTTAAACATCTTTTAGCGTTGACAAAATCGCAGGGCAGGCAGGCTCTTTTCTGGCCTTTCTGCTCCTTCTGATTATCTGCTGCAGCTGCGGCAATTAGAAGATGCCGAGATGCAAAGATTCTGAGATTCTGAGATATGGCAAAGTATCCGACGGATATGCATGCGGCGTTTGCTGTCGGCGGCGCGTGTGAGTTAATGGTAACAATAACAATTGAGGATTCGGATGCTGGAGGGCAACGCGGGGAAGTTCTGGTTAAACTATTGAGTGAAAGAGAGCGAGCAGAGCTCTCAGATACGAGATACAAGATACAAGAGTTTAAATTGGATTCGAGAGGGAGAGAGAAAGGGATAAACAAGAGCCCGGAATTTATATAGTTTTGGAGTTCCTCGAATAAGTTTGTTTGGTTAATAATTCGAAATCTTGCATGCTTGGTTGAGAAAAGTAGAACAATCTTTGGTTCATTAAAAATGTTGATTTATATGCACATACCACAATAAAGAAAACTATTGGAAGTTCTATGTTCATTATTTAAAATTTGTCTTTCTAATTTTTGAAAACAGAATATTCTTGATAGGTACCTTCTTTGATTACTTACCTTCCCTATGAATAATAATTAATTAATCAATTATTGTTGATTATTGTGATTACTACTTATTGACAAAAGCAATTTTATTCCCAATTGAATTTGGAGTTTCTATTTGTTCGCTGTCAATGTTTACGTTTGATTCACAAATTCAAACACTGAGTCCACTCAATTGCATCTCTTTCACTCAACGCCTCTCTCGCTCTTTTTCTCCGGTTCTCTCGGGCACAGTGGCGCCATTTCACCCAGAGGCGGCTGAGAAAATAACTAAAAAGTCTCTCCTTTCGGGAGAGCAGCACTCATGCGCAATCCCCCATTCAGAACGCTCGTATCCGCGAGATACTTTTGGGTCCGTTGAGGCGGCTAACTCGAGGCACTTACTAGAAAACACCCTGTTACTCGCGTTTATTGAAGGTGTTGCTAACGGATCTGTAAGCCCGACGAGACTACCTTATGGTTGTGTTTCTTGTTCAGAGGGCTAACTCGACGTTCGACTGGCAAACTTGAAAACAGTTAGAGTGCCAGCGCCGTACGGTTCGGACGTGTGGGCCACGCACAATTCAATTCGCAAATCGCAGAGTCTGGTCAGCAAGACAGTCTTGTGGAAAACCAAAAGAGAAACAAACCTGAACAAGTGAAAGAGAAATTCGGAAAAGCGCCAGCCGAGAGCCGTGAAAATCCACCCAGAATAATGTGCGCTTAGTGAAAACAGTGGCTAGCAAAAAAAAAATGTCAATTCCCAGTGACCGAGAGTGAGAAATTCCCCCAAAATAAAAAATAATACAAAAAAACGCAAACTACCAGCCGTCAGAGAACGGTACCCCAAGTCCCCCGAAACACAAGACCCCGAACATGGCGGCAATCCTGCTGCTCCTGCTGGGGCTATCCTCCTCCGGCTCCTTCGCCGGAGCTGCCCTGGCGCCCAAGGACAGCGATTCGAGTGCCAGTGCGATGCTGGGCGCCGGAACGGGAGCCGCGGCCACGGTTTCCCTCTCCGGCGACTACTCCTCGCTGCTGTCGAACGTGCCGGCTCCCTCGTCCGCCTCCTCGGCGGCATCGGCGGCATCTCCGGTCCACAGCGGACCGGCGAACCAGTGCTCCTGGTCGTACAACGGTACCAGTTCGGTGCACTGCGCCCTCCGCCTGATCGAGAAGCAGCCCGGCCTGGATCTCCAGGGAGCGGATGGCAGCAGCCAGCTGACCATCCAGTGCAGCGAGCTCTACCTCTTCGAGTCCTCGCTGCCGGTGGCCGTGTTTGCCAGGCTGCAGACGCTGGAGTCGCTGCGGCTGGACTCCTGCAAGCTGCTGCAGCTGCCGAACAACGCTTTCGAGGGCCTGGGCACCCTGAAAACGCTGCACCTGAGCAGCCACAACAGCGAGTGGGGACCCACGAGGGCACTGGAGCTCTTTCCCGACTCGCTGGGCGGCCTGAAGCAGCTCACCGAACTCGACTTGGGCGACAACAACCTGCGGCAACTGCCAGCGGGCTTCCTCTGCCCGGTGGGCAATCTCCAGGTGCTGAATCTCACCCGCAACCGCATCCGCACCGCCGAACAGCTGGGCTTTGCGGACATGAACTGTGGTGCGGGTTCCGGAAGTGCCGGCAGTGAGTTGCAGGTCCTGGATGCCAGCCACAATGAGCTGAGGTCCATCAGCGAGAGCTGGGGCATCTCGAGGCTCCGGAGGCTGCAGCACCTCAACCTGGCCCACAACAATTTGTCAGAGTTGTCTGGAGAAGCTCTGGCTGGATTGGCTTCCCTGCGGATTGTGAATCTGAGTAACAACCACTTGGAAACGCTGCCCGAAGGACTCTTTGCTGGTTCCAAGGAGCTGAGGGAGATTCACCTGCAGCAGAACGAGCTCTACGAACTGCCCAAGGGTCTGTTCCACCGATTGGAGCAACTCTTAGTGGTGGATTTGTCGGGCAACCAGCTGACCTCCAACCACGTGGACAACACCACTTTCGCCGGATTAATCAGACTGATTGTTCTGAATTTGGCCCACAATGCGTTGACCCGCATTGATTACCGCACCTTCAAGGAGCTGTACTTCCTGCAGATCCTGAATCTGCGCAACAACTCCATCGGCCACATCGAGGACAACGCCTTCCTGCCCCTCTACAACCTGCACACCCTCAATCTCGCCGAGAACCGCCTGCACACTCTGGACGACAAGCTGTTCAATGGCCTGTATGTGCTGTCCAAGTTAACGCTGAACAACAATCTCATCAGTGTGGTGGAGCCAGCTGTGTTCAAAAATTGCTCGGACTTGAAGGAACTCGATTTGAGTTCCAATCAGCTGAACGAAGTGCCGAGAGCTCTCCAGGATTTGGCCATGTTGCGCACTCTTGATTTGGGCGAAAACCAAATCCGCACCTTCGACAACCAGAGCTTCAAGAATCTTCACCAGCTGACGGGTCTGCGGTTGATTGACAACCAAATCGGAAACATAACAGTGGGCATGTTCCAGGATTTGCCAAGACTAAGTGTCCTAAACCTGGCCAAGAACCGCATCCAGAGCATCGAGCGGGGTTCCTTCGACAAGAACTACGAACTGGAGGCCATTCGGTTGGACAGGAACTTTCTCGCGGACATCAATGGGGTGTTTGCCACTCTGGTCTCCCTGCTGTGGTTGAATCTCTCCGAGAATCATCTGGTCTGGTTCGATTACGCCTTTATTCCCTCGAATCTGAAGTGGCTGGATATCCATGGCAACTACATCGAAGCTCTGGGCAACTACTACAAGTTGCAGGAGGAGATTCGAGTGAAAACACTGGATGCCTCGCACAATCGCATCACGGAAATCGGACCAATGTCCATACCAAATACCATTGAACTGCTGTTTATCAACAACAATCTGATTGGCAACGTGCAGCCAAATGCCTTTGTGGACAAGGCGAACCTGGCCAGAGTGGATCTGTATGCCAATCAGCTGAGCAAACTGCAGCTGCAGCAATTGCGAGTGGCTCCGGTGGTGGCACCCAAGCCCCTGCCGGAGTTCTACTTGGGTGGCAATCCCTTCGAGTGCGACTGCACCATGGACTGGCTGCAGAGGATCAACAATCTGACCACCCGCCAGCACCCCAGGGTAATGGATATGGCGAACATTGAGTGCGTGATGCCACATGCTCGTGGTGCTGCAGTGCGTCCCTTGAGTGGCCTGCGTCCCCAGGATTTCCTCTGCCGCTACGAGTCCCACTGTTTCGCCCTCTGTCACTGTTGTGATTTCGATGCCTGCGACTGCGAGATGACCTGTCCCAGCAACTGCACCTGCTACCACGACCAGATCTGGTCCACTAACGTGGTGGATTGTGGTGGCCAGCAGACCACGGAGCTGCCGCGTCGAGTGCCCATGGATTCCAGTGTGGTCTATCTGGATGGCAACAACTTCCCAGTGCTGAAGAACCATGCTTTTATCGGGAGGAAAAACCTGCGGGCGCTGTACGTGAATGGCAGTCAGGTGGCGGCCATCCAAAATCGCACCTTCGCCAGCTTGGCATCGCTGCAGTTGCTCCACTTGGCGGACAACAAGCTGAGAACCCTGCACGGTTACGAATTCGAGCAGCTTTCCGCCCTGCGGGAGCTGTATCTGCAGAACAACCAGCTGACGACCATCGAGAACGCCACCTTGGCTCCCTTGGCTGCCCTCGAGCTGCTCCGCATCGATGGAAACCGATTGGTCACCCTGCCCATTTGGCAGATGCACGCCACCCATTTTGGCAACAGGCTGCGTTCGATTAGCCTGGGCAGGAATCAGTGGAGTTGCAGGTGCCAGTTCCTCCAGGCACTCACCTCCTATGTGGCGGATAATGCCCTGATTGTCCAGGATGCCCAGGATATCTACTGCATGTCGGCCAGTTCCGGCAGTGGTGGCTCCCACTTGGAGGACACATCTGCGAGTGTGGGTTCCCTGGAGAAGAGGGAGCTGGACTTCAATGCCACCGGAGCCGCTTGCACGGATTACTATTCTGGAGGCTCCATGTTGCAGCATGGCATTCCGGAATCGTATATTCCCCTCCTGGCTGCTGCACTGGCCCTTCTCTTCCTGCTCGTCGTGATTGCCATGGTGTTCGCCTTCCGGGAGTCCCTGAGGATCTGGCTGTTTGCTCATTACGGTGTCCGTGTTTTCGGTCCCCGCTGCGAGGAGTCCGAGAAGCTCTACGACGCAGTGCTTCTCCACTCCGCCAAGGACTCGGAGTTCGTGTGCCAGCACTTGGCTGCCCAGCTGGAGACGGGAAGACCGCCGCTGAGGGTCTGCCTGCAGCATCGGGACTTGGCCCACGACGCCACGCACTACCAGCTTCTGGAAGCCACGAGGGTTTCCCGCCGAGTGGTCATCCTGCTGACCAGGAACTTCCTGCAAACGGAGTGGGCCAGGTGCGAACTTCGGCGTTCGGTGCACGACGCCCTGCGTGGCAGGCCCCAGAAGCTGGTGATCATCGAGGAGCCGGAGGTGGCCTTCGAGGCGGAGAGCGACATAGAGCTGCTGCCCTACCTGAAAACCTCGGCTGTGCATCGCATCCGCCGCTCGGATCGGCACTTCTGGGAGAAGCTGCGCTACGCGTTGCCCGTGGACTATCCCACCTTCAGGGGCAACAACTATACGCTGGAGCTGGACCACCACAACCACGAGCGGGTGAAGCAGCCGGCGAGTCCCGGCCTGCTCTACCGCCAGGCCCCGCCCCCCGCCTACTGCGGCCCGGCGGACGGAGGTCCTGCTCCCCCGGGAGCCGTGGTCAGTGCCTCCTCCGTTCCGGCGGAGCAGAACTACTCCACGGCCACCACGGCCACGCCCAGTCCGCGGCCACAGAGGCGGGGCGATCAGCAGCATCAGCAGGGATCGGTATCGGGATCGGTGTCCGGTTCCGGGAGCCACCACCTGCACGCCCAGTACTACCAGCACCACGGGATGCGACCGCCCTCGGAGCACATATACTCCAGCATCGACTCGGACTACTCGACCCTGGACAACGAGCAGCACATGCTGATGATGCCAGCGGTTGTGGGAATGGAGGCGGCCCCAAGGGCGCAGACCTGGCGGCCCAAGAGGGAGCAGCTCCATCTCCAGCAGGCCCAGGCCGGAACTCTGGGCTCCAAGGCGAGCCAACAACAACAGCAGCAGCAGCAGCAACAAAATCAGACAGCTGTATCCGGTCAGCAGCAGGGACCTCATGTCCAGGCGTATCTGGTGTAAGGAGCGCTTTCCGGGCGAGTGACAGTGATTTCTTTAGGGACTGGTTCCTGTGCATAATTTTAATTACTAAAATATGTGCGAGTTAGGCTAAGAGATGAGAAATGGGAAACGAGAGTTGGAGAGATGCGGAGGCCGAAGCTAGCAAGCCAGATTTTAACGTACCAGCAGGATATATCATTTTGTTTATCCAGTGTAAAGTCATTTTAGATGCACTAAACAAACACACGAGATACAGATGCAATTCGGGGACGAGTGAGTGTATCTAAAGGAGGAGAAAGGGGGAGTGGGGGGTCGTGTTACTACAATGCCATTTCAAAGTTTCAAAACTTTACCACACAGCAAACTTAGTTTTCTCCCTCACATGAACGCACGAACTTGCTCTTCAGCTGGCATTTGCTTAGCCGAGAATTGCCCGAGGGGGAATTTGTGATAACTTTTTAATATGGTTTTAATCAGTTGGACTCGAGAACCTCGAGTGTAAAGATTCCCGGTCTGGGATGAACTTTCCAAGGGCCAGACCCACTCACAACTGCATTTCTATTTGCATTTGCATTAAGATGCCTCGAAGACGCACTGTGTCCCAAGTAGATTGTTTATTAATTGACTTGATAATTGCCATTAATCCGGAAGAGGGTCTACCATATAACCACGCATCGCATCTCCTGCATCCTGAATCCATTTGTAAATAGCTCTCCGTACCGTATTTACTGCCCAAACATAGATGCACACACCTACATACACCTTTATATAGATACAGACACAAATTTGTACCCGTATGGGGATAATTCAATAATCACATTCAAGTACACATGTAAATTGTATGCCACAGCGACGGCGAGCCGTAAAATCGATAAATGCATTTGTCAAGTAATCTCTGTATGTAAAAAGCATAAATAATTAGCTAGCAAACCGAGGGCTCGGGAAGATTTCCCGGGGCTTTACCACATCATAATAACAAACGCAGAAACCGAAACAAAAACATAAACAAAAAGCAGAAGCAAAAACACAGAAAAGCTCATTTTAAACACTTACGCTTACCAAACTAACGATAATTGTAATAAAAGTTTCGCAACTGGCGCAGCGCATACACAATATGCATAGCTAATTATATATAGTACATACGTATATATATTCATGGATATATCAATGTGCGTGTCTGCATGTACGTGACTGTGTAAAGTGAAGCAAACTACTGATATTAAAGAACTACTATGTATGAGGTACCCTTTATATGCATACATATAAAGTATCTATATCTACGCATATATTATACGAGTAAATGTTTAACAACTGCCTATAGAAAGTACGAAGAGAAGAGCATTTATTTCAGCACACTCGCCTACTCGTCATTAATTAAGATAAGGAAATCAGTTCGAAACTAGCGAGAGATACGAGAGAATCGTAAGACATGTAAAACACTTGTACCAGTATGAAAGCCCAAAACTGTTATTTAATTTTATCATTTTGTAATATATTATATACGGAGACGATAAGCCCTAAGTTTAGTTCTAACGCAGCTCTACGATAATGTATAACCTATGGATAATTCAATTTTGTGAATACAACTATTTATATACTATATACATCTAAATCTATGTACGATTACGACAAACAACAAACAAAGATATTTTTCTGTTTCGCCAGCGAACAATGCAAATGAAATGAACAACTTTTTTAAAACAAAAACCTAAAAAGTGTGTCGATAATGGTTTGGGTTTGGGATTGGGATTGGGATTGCTCTTCCATTTCCAGCTGGCTTTTTGCTAATTTAATTCATCATGCACATGAGTTGCTGTTTTGTAATCCTCACGCATTGTCAGGGGCGTCGAAGGAGGAGGAGGGGTTTTATATTTTTTTCGGTTTGGTTTTGGTTTTGGTCGGCGGCCCGTCAAAGTCAACCGGCGAACGTAGCTCAGATACAAGCCGCGCCAGAGTGATAAATCATTTTTTGTTTTTCTATACGGCATACGAATGTGCGGAACATATATATAAACCGACATACAAATGCGCAGCGCGCTGCAGACGCAAGTACCATACAAATCAGCCCCCTTTTCCATCCAGTCCGGTCCATCATCATCCGCATACGAACTCCACTCCTCCACCTCCACCTCCTCCTCGTCGTTGGCTTGGTCTATCTGTCGGTCTGGCGGTTAAATGATGGCTGTTTCCATTTGAAGGGTAACAGCAACACACTCGTACCTAGTCGAGCATTATACGCGTCTGGAGTGGATTTCTATGACGCTTTTGGTATTTATGCCCGGCCAAGTCGAGCTGTCTTGGCTCGAAAAGGGGTTAGGGGGCTGCGGATGTAAATGGTGGTGAAACAAATCGAGGAGCTCCGACCTCCGTCCTCCTCTATCTCAATTTCTCACATCAACTGCAGTCGATTTCGATGGCCATACATTCCGGTTAAGAGTAAAATGGGGAAAAAAACCAGCCAGAAGAGGAGCCGAGAGCCCCGATCGACTGCAATTGCAAAGTTTTTTAATTTGCTTTCATTGAGGTGACTCCCACAGAAAGCTTTTCCGCACTGCACAACTTGTAACTAATAGAATTACGAACCCGGCAAAGAAACAATGCCACACTTGTGTTTCCATCCGGATGCTGGGGAAAAGCAGAGAAGCATTTTCAGGGGCGGTGGCAAAAATCGGAAGCAATCTGGGGGGCCGGGCCCTAGTTGAGGAATTTTTGGGAAATTTCATTTAACAATTTCTTAATTGTTTGCAGATACGCATCTGCTGTCGAGTGGCATTTTCTCCGGGGAGGATTTTCCCCTTCTTTCGCCTCTGGAGCATTTCCCCCAAAATCAATAGCCAGCTCTTTAAATCAATGCTCTAGTTCGGCCAAGGAAGCTAAAGAAGCGAACAGATATTTCATATTGCCTGATCAAAATTCAATACGTGTTGCAAATATCGAATTTCCATCAAAACAGAAACAAAACAAAACAGTCGTAAAAAACATCGAGGGTTGCTGCCGGCTCACATACGCCGTCGGTTGGGGGAGGTAAAAAAATATATAGGCTTCCTCGGCCTCTGCTCGCTTATTATGATAATAAATTTTTATGCTGCAAGAAATAAAAGAGAGTGCAGAAAAAATTAAATAAAAAAGTATCAGACGCCCACACACACACACATTCGCTTTCAGGGAAACAGAGTTAGAAGGGCCAAAGTGAATTAAATTGAATTGAAAACTGTTTCCCGATAAAGGGCAAGTTTAAATGCCTCGGACCCTACACTTGCAATCAAATTATTTAAATGTAATAAAAAAAGGTCCGGCAAAATATTTGCCTTGGCCAGGCAAAAGTTGGCAATGTCAAATGTGGGCCAGTCATTCAGATTTCCTCAATGTCAGGTTTCAGTCAGATATACAGCCGAATATATATACGTATAAATATATATTTCGTGTGGGGGAAAACTGGGAAAACGCTTTTCGTCACGTTTTCGTCGGTAGAGCGCACAGAAATAGGCAAATAAATCTGTGCGAGCAGCATGAAAATTGAAACGAAACGCTTGGTCAGGCTTTTCCATACACCTACACCTACATAGGCGGCAGTTTTCATTTTCTAGCTGATAAACAACGACGCCAAGGTGATAAGTTCATTCTGACAGCTTGCAAATCAAAGTGTCTCCCGGCTTTTATTTCTCTTTTATATCTTTGCTTACATTTACTTCGGGGAAAATCAATTTGGCCCAGACAATGATTGAAGTTTTTGCGTGGGCTTTGCTCACATATTTGATTGTTTTTCTTTTTTTCGAAGGAAAACCACTCTGAAGTCACCTTTAATTATATGTGTCCGAGTTGAGCAACGTTTTTATTATGACAAGATGACGAAATTGCTGGGAAAATTAAGAGGAATTACAAGCCCAATTGGTCTTACTATACGGTGTCTTGGAAACCAATTGGGCTGCGGAAAAGTAGTCCTCACACATTTTGAGGTCCGGCGTAATTAACCTTTTTCAGCTTCAGCTTCTATTGGATGGTAGGGCAACTTTTTGCCCGTATTTATAATAAGCCCTATAATGCGGCCAGAACGTAAGTGTCACAAGTGCCAACAAATGAATTGCTCCAGCAGCTGCACGAATATATAGCCTCGCAAATGTTTTACTATATATGTACGAGCATGTGAGTTTGTGAGTTTGTCATAATTTCACGTCCATTGTCAGCGTTTATTCAACATGGCGGTGGCCAGAAAGAGAGGGAAGAACGGGGACGGAAAGGACTGAAAGGACAGCAGACGACATTTATGCTTTATCCTGGCTGGCGTGGCCCCATTGTTGTTGCTTTCGGCTGGGCGTAATTATTTGTTTTGGCTTGCTGGGTTCATTTACTCCACCGAAAAGAAAATACCCCAAAGGAGTCACACTCGGTGAGGTTTGTGTGTTTGTGTGTTGTGTGTGTTGTGTGTATTTTGCATGTGTTTGGTTTGTTTGTGCGCTTGTGCACATGTGTTTTAATTTCTGTTTGTTGTTTTAACCCGACAACAATAAAAAACTGTTACGCTTGCTGTTGCTCCTGTGCCATATTGTCTGCCCTGGCGTGGGTTCAAACAATTACGAATTATGGCCCAGTTCCACTTGCCGTTTAGGGTTACCTTTTTTAATTGTTTTTCCTGTGGCCCGTTGCCGGATTTAGCCGAGGGTTTCGCTCTTCGCTTCTGTTTGGGATTCCTCGTTATGAGGCACTCCGCCAGAACTATTTATCTTGCTTAGAGATACTCTGCCTGCGACCGGAAAATCAATAACGCGCTCCGGGCCGAAAAGCTTTAAAGTCGGACGGAGCTTCGTTGGCCGGGAAAATGGAAAAGGAAAAACCGGTTTAATGAGCCGACTGCCTTTTGCCTTTCGGCTGATGGACGCCTTGCACGCAACGACACCGAACATGTCCTGTGCTTATTAAATTTCGTGAGCAAGTGCCGAAGGACTTGGCCGGAGTTGCAGCGGGAAAAACGCAAACAAAGCAAAGCTGAGAGCCGGCAACCATCGGAACCATCGTCGGGATACTGAGGACACTGGACGGGAAGAGGACATAAAAAGCAACGACTTGGTCACGACCAATAAGATGGAAGACAATTCAATTGAAAAAAATCACCGATCGATAATCTTTACCACTGACCGCACACACGCCCGCTCCTCCATCGACGATGGCCGTGTCCTTAAAGGACCCTGCCTTTGCTCCAGTTTCACTGCCATTCCTATCCTGGCCGACTCCTTCGCTTGCCCTGGATATTCCATTTACATGTTTATCGGAGCCGCCTTGCCTTTTCTACTTCTGTGCGTTGGCAACTTGAGCGTGTGCTTTTTAATTCGCCTTACTTGGCTCCGAGTGGCCCAGAGCTCTCGGAGATACGGCACTGCTTTCTTAATTTTGTTTGACTTTGGCTAAACTTTAATGATGGACCCATGTACTCATGCCGTCTGACAAAGGCTGAAGTGAGCGGAGAGCGGGGAAGGGCGGGGGAAAGCGATGGGAAGACGAGTCAACGCTCTGGAGAGTTACACTCAAGTGCTTTGTAATCGACTGCAATCAACACGAGCAGGACTCAGAAGGAGGCTCAGTCCGGGGAAAGGATAATAACGATGGGACTGCGAGGTACTCGCTGAGGAAGTATTATTTAATCAGCACTACAAAGCAATGAAAAAAAATTATAGGATTATAGGACTCTAGTTCCGCCAAGGGAGTGTTATACTGAGCTTAGCTCACTTAATCGCTGTTAAAACGAAGTGCAAAGTACTGAATTTTATTCATTAACAGAAAAAGGAGTTTTTAGATAATTTATGATAAGAAGTTTTATATCTACAAAAATAAGTATACCTCTTAAAGGGATTGGGTTAGTGGATTAAAAAGACATATCTTGAATATAAAAAGTATTTTAAAAGTATTTATGAATCCATGTAATATGTTGTAATATGTTGAACGCATACTTTTTTTGTAAAATATAGAAACTACAGTACCCTAAAAATAGAATTTCATCGCTTTAAGGGCGTGTGATCTTGAAAGATAATCCCACTGCAGCTCATTATCCTAGTTCGCTTAGCCGGAGGCGTTCTGAAGTACACAAATACGAGTACAGAGTTCTTGAGCACACACGTGCAGTCGCTCTATCCCGCTCGCTCCCTATACCCATCTCGCTCCAACTCTTTCAGTTTAAATAAACAAGGAAGTAATTAACATTTTGGGGCAGTTCCTCAGTGTTTTTTGCCTCCTTCTGTTACTCAGCTCGTTTCTACTTCATTTACTTTGCTTACTCAAATTTCGGGCCAGCCTATTTACATGTACAAAACTTTTTCTTTCGGGTTTGGTTTTATTTTTTTATTTTTTTTTTTGATGTTGTTTGTCCCAGCCCTGGGGCTGCACTTTATAAAGTGTTAACTTGCCGAACCTGAACCCTTTGCTTTTTTTCTGGAACAATGGACGGGGGAAGTGAAGAATGAAGATGGGAAACTGCGTGCTCTGGCTATATAAAACTTTGATTCGATTTCCGTTTAACCCCGCTAATGCACCGTTATGTTCGTCGCAAGTATTTATTAATACGTTTTATTAAACGATAAAATGGTTTATGGGGGAAACAAAACGTGTCCCGTCTAATCAAACATTTTATGCGCCACTTTCGGAGGACGCCCCACCTGGATGACTTTGTGTTTGTTTGTATTAAAAATGCATAAACCCATAACAACATAATTAGTTTTTATAAGCG